ATTTTATATTTTACTTCAAAAAGACAATGAGACTTTTTTTCTTTGTCATAATGTTTTAGAATTTGAAATAAGATTGGTAGTGGTAGTAGTCTGGTTGTGATGTCATTATTGGTACAGTACAATGACATACTATTACAGGACTGAGAAAGAAGCAGCTAGAGTGGAGTTACATGACTGTACCAGAAGATTCTACTATTAGCTAGCCTGGCTAACACCATTCCTGGTGACCATCCATCCATCTCTCGTTAGACAGGTATGGATGACGATTGTCCACGGCCGTTTATTGGGCGCTACAAATGTCTATCATATACGCCTGCATGTATGCACCAATCGTATCAATTCTACCTGACGTTAACACAATGGTGCCGAATGATTACTGCTGTTTGTGCAAGTTAATCATGATGACTTTGCTGCCGTCATGTTGGATCCGTAAACAAACTATAAACTTCCATCTATATCAGTGCGTTTTGTAGTCCCTGCCTGTTCTGTGATTTGATTAGTCCCCAAATCCATGCAAACATTTCATCAGAGTTCTGAGCAGCTCCAGATCTGTTTTGTTTGCATATTCAAGAAACTGTCTCTCAAATATAAATGTGCATTGAATAGCTCTGACTCTTTATAACAAGCATCTTAAACATTAGTAACAGTATGTATTGTTGAAGACTGAAGTCCATACCACCTCCTTTAATTGGCTTTGAATCTACATTGAAAAACATTTGGATCTTGAATTAATAAGAATTTTCTCATCCCCCATTGTGAATTTTAGTGACACAAAATATGCAAGGATTATTTCATTCAATCAAACTTATGAGATGAATATCAAAAGAAGTAGTCTGAGTAGTAGTCTGTAGCAGGGCATTGATAAACTCTGTCCTTAATAGGTTCATAAGAGGTGAAGATGTGGTCCAAGTGAAGAGCACTGTACTCGGACTTGGCCGTGACTAAACCATCTCTAATCCCCATCTCTTTGTCCTGCGGAGCTTGTCAGAACCACCCAGTATAAAGTAAAGAACTTTAAAAAACCCCTTTTCATCTTTTCCATTCATCGCTCCATAAATCTACCACTAATGTAGGAGCAATCAGCCGTCCGACGCTTTAGCCGCACAAAACACGATTTAAAAAGCTGTAAAAGGCACAAGTACGAAGCAGAAGAGGAGAGAAAGAGGAGGGCTGTGACAGTATGTACGCTCCCGGGCTTTCACAAATCTGCAGTGACTGGAGATGAATGCCTCGGGGCCCGGCCAGAGCAGCACCAGCAGCCAGCCGCAGCCCTTATCTTAAATCCAACCAAAGTACCATTAATCTTTTTCAAAGACCTTTATAGCTTTTAATGTATCCCAAATTAGAACATTTTACACCCTTGGTTCCTGAAATATGGTGATAAAAAGCCTTTAGACTTTAATTTTTCCTGCCTGCTCGCTCTGACCTGCTTAATCCCAGCATGCATTAGGAGATATTTTAGTTTCAGCCTTTCTAATAAAGTTTATCCCACTTAATTATAATTGAAACATTTTTTTCAAGCAGGTCTTTTTTTTTTCTTTCCAAGTGGCACCGCTGCGGTACATTTCTTCATTACCTTAAGACTTCCCTCGCCTCCCCCTACCTCCCTCCCTCCCTCTCCTGATTGTGTTATTTGAATATTACACAGAATTACCCAGTGGTTTTCTGAATGTCTTCTTTTCATCTATACATGCTGCCCTGTAGTCCCAGAGATGTCCCAACATGCTTCTTCAGAAATGATTATAGAAGTGATGATACAAGTGATGATTATAGAAGTGATGATACAAAGATTTAAATCTTTGTACACTGTTCCTTTTATATTTAGCACCAGGTGAGGCCATTTGAGTCCATGGCTAATGTCTGTCAGCTCGATTTGTGTTGGAAATGTATTTTGTTAAAGAAAACTGAATTGCCTGCTTTGAAAGGAAAGCTGAAGGTATCCATTTTAAATCAAGTATAGTATTTATCGTGAGTTAAGTTTTGTCACTGTACGTTAAAAGATAAAGGATAAGGTGCACTTTATTTATCCCTGTTAGACAATTTGTCCTCTGCATTTGACCCAGAAATGCAATTCCTCTTGGGGGTCTGTCACGAGAAGTAGTACAATACCCGGGGCCTATCTCCAGATGTTGATGTTTAAATTAGTCAGGACTACCGGACTACCAGAAGGTCCTGGGTTCGAATCCCAATCAGGATCAATTGTCTTTCTGAGTGGAGATTGCATGTTCTGCCCATGTCTGAGAAGGTTTAGTTCGATTTCCTCGACCACTGAAAACATGTAGAATAGAGAAAATCCCCCAGCTCTGGTCCTGACCAAGCCCAGCATCAACATCTGGGGATGGGGTCCAGACTCCGGACACAGGACCTAGTGACATTGCAGGATGGGTCGAATGTAGAGGACAAACTGCCCTATGGGGAATTGCCCTACAAGGATAAATAAAGTGTACCTTATGATGCTCTGGCCTGGTGCAGGTGGACAACACTCGTGTTCACTTTTCTATCTGAAGAAGATAGAAAAGTGGCCAAATATTAATGCATGTGTGTACTTACAAGTCGGATCAAATTACTTTATTTTATTTTTTTCATTTGTTTATTTTAATGGGAATGTGCAGATCAACGTATGTATTATTATTATTTATTATTATTATTATTATTATTATTATTATTAGTCCACACTGTGACTTCAGCTTTATTGGTTTGCGAGCCACAGTTTGAGAAACGTTGTGAAGGTTCTCAGTGTCACTTTGAAAAATAGGTTCTTTTGCTTTTAAGGTGATAAAGTACAAGCTAAGTTGATAATGTACTATTATAAAAGACAAGTACTATACAATATCAGTCTTTTTCTATTTTTGTTTGTCCGTTTTGGGCGTGTCTCGTGCCGCTCCCTCGACACGCCCTGCACGTATTGTTAAAACTGATTTGTTTTCATGTTATTCCTGCCGATGGTACATTCTGCCATTGCTTTAACTCCTCCCCCTCCCTCTTGGGCTTGCACTGTGTGAATATTACACTGAATTATCCAAATGGTTGGCTGAAATAGTTCCAAGTTGCTGATGGAAGTTGTTGTTTGCCTCGATAGTAAAGCGCAGCGGGGGAGGCAGGATTTTCCCCTTTGTTTCCTGTGCGTTGATGTGATGTGGGTTATTGGGATTATTCTGCCTCACAATGTGCACATGTCGTCAGAGGGATTTCCATGTTTGCTCCTCGCTGTCACGGTCATTCAGTTCACTTTTGATTCGAGGGACTGCCTGGAGTACTCCGCTTTACCCCAGCGACCAAAGAAAAATGCAAAAAATGCTGCTATGTGTAATAAATGCAGACCTTTGTTTGTCATAGGCATTTAATTTGCACTTTAAACAAGGGGAAATGGAGGTAATCATAAAGAAAAACAATGTCAGGTGACGCTAAAAGGCAGCGGTGTGAATGTAGAAAGACTTCAAACGAAATGACAAAGGTGGGCTGTAAATTATAGACCTCCAAGTCAAACATTTAAAAAGCTTTATACTGATGCATTTATAATCTATTTATTCACATCTCATCGAGAGGTGCGCTGTAATGTTTTCAACAACAACAAATTATAACTGAACAATTGACACGATGAACCTGCTGACTCCTGCATTCTCTCTGAAGCTGCTGGGCTGAAAATGTAGTATTCATTGGATATTAGGATTTTTGTCGATATGACCACTCAATACAGGGCACTTTTGATTCCATACAATATTTCTAAGCGACTTTAGTGACTGAGGTTGTACTACACTGACAACTCCCGCAAAGGCAAGGCAAGTTTATTTGTATAGCACAATTCATACACAAGGCAACTCAAAGTGCTGAACAAGATAGCATTAAAATCATAAATAATCACAGAGCATTAAAAAGAAAGATAAAAACATAAAATCCCTCAGTTGTATGCACAGCTAAACAGAACTGTTTTTAACCTGGTTTTAAACATTGTCAGAGAGGAGGCCTGTCTCAGGAAGACTGTTCCAGATTTTAGCAGCATGAATCTGAAAAGCAGCCTCCCCATGTTTAGTTCTGACTCTGGGCACTAACAGGAGTCCAGTCCCTGTGCTCCTCAGAGTCCGGGCTGGTTCATATGGGACTAACATGTCACTAATATATTTTGGTGCGAGGCCATAGAGAGACTTGTAACAAGCAGAGCTGTTTTAAAGTCTATTCTCTGAGCCACAGGAAGCCAGTGCAGAGACCTGAGGACCGGACTAATATGGTCGTACTTCCTGGTTCTAGTCAGGACTCGAGCTGCTGCATTTTGAATGTACTGCAGCTGTTTTACAGCCTGTTTGGACAGACCTGAGAGCAGGCCATTGCAGTAGTCTAACCTACTGGAGACAAATGCATGGATAACAATCTCCAAGTCTGCTTTAGACACTATGTTTTTGATCCTGGCAATGTTTTTTAGATGGTAAAAAGCTGCTGATATTTTTTATTTATTTGTTTATGTAAACCTTATTCAACCACAAAAACCTAATTTTCAAAGCTAAAAAGATTCAACTAACTAGTTCCTTGCTCCAAAAAAGTTGAAAAAGAACCTTCAGTCAATCAGCTCTCGACCCCAGGATAATGAAATAATATAATATGTTTTCTTAGTTAGACAACTTGGTCTGCGTTTAGATTAGTCTTTCCATTGGGACGAAGAATATGTAAGTTAGGCTTTAAGGTCCTCAAACTTACTAATATTTACCACCGACTTCCAAACGGCAGCAGTCATAGAAAGAGGAACCAGCATTCTTCTTAAACTGTAAATTGGTAAAATCTTGGAAAGTCGTCAAAAGTGGCCAAATCCAGGCAGGAAAATGACACTGTCCAAAATGATGAAACATATCTGACACGCGCTAATGCCACACTCGTAATTAACGTTGGCTATTCCCGTCTGTTTTGATCAGATGTCTCGTAACGCGTTTAAAAGCTTCATAAAAGGGGGCTATACGTTGACATGAAGCAGTCCTGACAGGTCCGTGATGGCGTCCTCTCTGTGTCTAAAGCTGGCTGTGAAAATCGCTCAAGCCGCTGATTGCCGTGACTACGCCAAACGCAAACAGGAAGAGGAAGCTTTGAAGGCCGCGCAGAAGAGGAAGAAGGAGATTGCCTGGGGGTACGCCATTTCTCTGTCCAAATAATGATAAAGATGACATCACTGTATTGTAATTAAATAATCCTCAAAGATTTAATTGAGATGTGGGTCCGGTAACATGTCTAGAATGTTAATACGCTGATTGTGTGATGAGGATAAAAATAACAAAACTGTCGCTGGTCATCAACAGTCAGTAATAGGTTCATGAATTAGCCTTAACTGTTTTCTGTGTTGATTTGTTTTTGCAGGTTCGAGGCCAAGCAACGATGGGAGACCAAGAGCAACATGGGATTCATGTGACCATTGGGAATTCTTTAAATGCAGACTTTTGTTGGAGGACGATTATTGACTTTTCTGTTTGCTTGTCCAGAGGTGACATAAAGGTTTTTTAAAGAAGAATGCTTTCATATTTTAATTACAAATCAAGGAGATGGCTAACTTCTTGTAATATATATGTCAGCAAACACTAAATATACTGATATTTTTCAATATTTCTTTCAAGGATTCTTACTTTTCCACCAACATTTGTAAACAATACTTTTTTGTGGCGACAGTAGCTCAGTTGGTAGAGCATTGGCCTTTGACTATCTGCTGTCGTTGTGTCCTTGGCAAGACACCTCTGGGAACTCCAGCCACAGTGGGGCGGCTGCGGCTGTTGTGTCCTTAGGCAAGACACTTCACCCCCATTGCCTAGAATGAGTCTGGTGTGTGTGTGAATGGTTGGTGGTGGTCGGAGGGGCCGATGGCACAGACTGGTGGCCTCGCTTCTGTCAGTGTGCCCCTGGGCAGCTGTGGCTACAGTTGTAGTTTATCACCACCGTGTATGGAGTGAAAGAATAATGACATTTAAAGCGTCTTTGAGTGTCCAGAAAAGCGCTATATAAAACCAATGCATTATTATTATTGTTATTTTTTGTTGGATTCATTCAGCAGTTTCTTTCCTTGTTAAACACATAAGACTGTTTATAAAGTTGAGTGCGCAGTCGTATGTCACACATGTCTGCGTTTGTCCTGTGGAAATGTGAACCCACCTGATATGGAAAGGTTCGTACAGGACCTGCAGAATGTCATGGAGTCTGTTTATTGTAGAGCTTATTGTAATCGCAACTAATCAAGTGGTTGGTAGCATAAACAGTGGACGCTTTTAATTGTGAAAACTTAGTTACTAACTAGGGCTGGGCGATATATACGGTATAAGCGGTATGCAATATAAATTTGGCCCACGGTAGAGATTTTTGTTATACCGGCATATTGCAATAGGTCATTATGTCATCAAATTGCGCAGGCTCTGATGCCAGCAGAGAGCATCAAAACAAACCGGCATTCGGCAGCATTAGCCTAGCGCATTAGCCTAGCACATTAGCCTAGCAGCATTAGCCTAGCAGACACCACTGGAAACAGCGAACAACAGCACGGCATTCACACCGTGTTTCTGTCTCTGTATTGTTGTCACAGCGCCCCAGCAGAGGTAAATACACACACAGTAATCACAGTTCTCATAGATAGATAGATAGATAGATAGATACTTTGTTGATCCCTCGAAGGAGAAATTCAAGTGTCCAGTAGTAGCAAAAATAGAAAAAAAATTTGATCATTCCAAAAAAAGATAACAATAGTAATAATCAGAATTATTATATGACTTGGACCGTACGTGGGCTCTGATTGGCTGATTACCGGTCTGATATTTTCCTATCTCGGACCGTTACCATGACAATTGGTCTGAACAGCGCGTATCACATTTGATATCTTTCCTTGGACCGTTACCATGACAATCTGTCCGCATCGCGTATCACACAAAACCAAGTTGGACATGAACATACTTCACAAATATCTCAAAAGCATTGGTAAAGACACAGACGAGAGTCATATAACAAAACATTTATTAACCTTGCTTGGTTAATAAATGTTTATTAACTGGGGAAAAGTTTGGCACCAACTTTCGCCACGGCTCGGTCTGTACGTTAAGGCCTGAGGTCTGATATTTATCCGTACAGACCTCGCGCTCGGTTAATAAGCCGTTAATAATCATCATGAGTTCTTTTCGATAATCAACAACACTTATAGTTTAGGATTAACCATGTGACCATGTAACCATGCTGAGAGATGACTGGCTCCACTTCAGGTTTATCTGGATCAAATTGGAATAAAATCTAGTGTATGCATTCTAAATATTTAACCAATTACCACCATTATCACTGTTAGCTCTAATTTTGTGCCGTATTGACTTTGAGTTAGCGAAAGTTGGTGCCAAACTTTTCCCCAGTTGCAGTAACTAGTGAACCGACCCCCGACTGCAGCGATCGTGTAGAGACATGTACGAGAGCAGCAGACGAGAGGACGAGGGAGAGAGAAATTGACAGATTGAAATTAATTCCTAAGGCGCTCATTGGTGTCTGCATTGTGTTGTTTTCCATTACATTTCAGTGATTTGAACGTTTTCCCCCTCAAATTAAATCTGGTGTACATTACTGGATGATGCGTTTATTTATTGCTGTAAAGTGGGTTAATCACGAAGGCGCCTCTTTCTTCTGACGCCGAAGAGAAAGGGAAGATTACGTCCCTAATGCAATGTACAGGATAATGTGCGATAGGATTTGCGTGTGAAAATGAAATTTGGCTGAAACGTGTTTGCGAGCGTCCGTGAACCGAGAAGGAGGGAGGGGGATTTGGCCCTTGCAGAGAGAGACGTGCTATTGTCTCCAGTCCAAACAACAAGCACTGGCTGTTTACTAGAAGCCTACATTCGCTGTCATTGTGCTCAGAGCTCCTTCAGCTTTTTAAACTCCTCTAAACCAGTGTTTTCTCCCCCACTTTGATCTATACAGCAATTTATACTGTCAGCTTTTCCTGTTCGCTTCAGAGAATAAACACAGGCATTTTAACAAGCATTCTTTGATAATGACCAACCTAAAAAAAATTATACTTGCTTCTTTATTTTGCTAAAGTTAGAGATTTTATTTTATTTTAGAATAGAGTTTTTCAATTTTCCTTCCTCATTTCTATTGTTTTGTGACTGGTGATGCAACTATGACATTTCCCCACTGTGGGACGAATAAGTGATCTCTTATCGTATTTATAGTCAGTAAATAAATCTGCTTTATATGGTTTAATGCTCAAGATTTTAGCCCCCATGGATAGCAATGCAAATTCATTCTATTAACGTTTGTTACTTATTTCAAGCAAATTATCAAGCAGCATGTAACTTTCTGAAGTGGGTACATTTCTTTTCTAGGATTCCATAGAAATAGAAAGTTAAAACCATACTCTAATCATAATATAAGTAAGTGAGTAAGTCATGTTTATTTATATACCGCCTTTCACAGACCAGAGTCACAAAGCGGTTTAAAATGATTATTTTTTGGGGTATTTGTCTCTCCCTCCACACAGAGATGGGAGCAGGGTCGCCAGTACAGGAGGCGCATTGTGCATGGTTTAGTGGTAGGAAAAACCGGAGTACCCGGAGGAAACCTACGCAGACACGGGGAGAACATGCAAACTCCAATCACAAAGACCCTGTTCTGAACGGGATTCGAACCCAGGACCTTCTTGCTGAGAAGCGAGAGTGCTATCCACTCAAGCCACCGTGCCGCCCAGATAATAAACATTATCCAGTCCAGTTTAATTCCAGTATTGTGGCTAATTCACACAAAAGTAAGAATCTTTGTATAGAGATTTTAGTCTATAAGCATTATTCCATACACACACCAAACTTATACTTATTGTACATGTTTTAGTGGTACGGAAATGTTTTGCATCTTGAGGAAACCTACACAGGGAGAACATGCAAACTCCATGCAGAAAGGCCCCGTGCTGCAGAGGACTCGAACCGGCTCTAACTGCTGCACCCACCACTGTGATGCCCATAAATGACTTTGGCTTTGCCCCAAAACCCTATAGGTCGCCTCTGTCTTACACACTGAGAAAAAAAGTTGTTTTCATTGCTAGAAAGTCTCTAAACAAAAACAGATCCACTTATTTTTTAGAATAGTGATGCCACCCATGTTCCACATCCAAAATGGCGAAAAAAAGTCAATGTTTGTATGAAAGGTTATAGACTGCTGCTTTAAACTATGCAGTATATTCCATATCTCTGTTTAGGGTCTTCATTTACTCTCAGTGTCTTCACCACTTCCATTTCCTCCCACCCATTTCCACTTTGAAAATGTTTATTCCCCTTTAATTACAAAAAGGACACTGCAGCAAAGCGGACAGTGATAATTGCTTTTATTCATAGACCTGACTTATTTTCCCCCAACTATAAAAAAAAAACAGTGATTGCTTAGCTTCAAGGTAATGGGAATTAAAATTAATCTAGGTGAGTTGTTTGCATTGCACAAATGTGGACGCTCGGTTGTGGAGGTCCAATCACCAACCATCAGCAGTAAAAGTTGGATACAATTAGATTCTGGAGTCACCTGAGTTAAAGCCAGATTGGAAAACTCCTGACGAGCAACAACAAGCAAGACATTCTGTATCATTCACGTTTAGCCGAACCACGAGCTGTCACTTGCTGTGAATTGCTGTTAATTAAACTATTAATTATCTTTATAATGAGACAAGACTTGAAACTGTTAAGCACATCAAAAGAACGACATGGGGATTTTCTGCACTTTGATGACGGCTGTGAAAAATATCTCTCCACGAGGAGCGAGGACACGGATGCTTCATTACTGTTGCAAAGATGATGGTGTTAAGGCCTTTCTGAAGTTATGGCGAATCTTCCACAAATCGGCATGTGCTGAGGGTCCTGAGTTTGGACTGACCCAGAAAGGTGGGTATAAGTTATGAGGTGATCTTTTGTTGAGAGTGCATTTATAAAGCATAAGGATACAGAGTATTCTAAAATAGTGTCCTCCAAGACTACAAAGCCCAAAGTGGTCAGACTGGTAAATATACAGAGCTGTGGAAATCTATTTGTTACTAATATATTAACTATAAACTAAATAGATGTAACTGTTTTAAATGTCCTGTTTTATAAGATATATACAGAGAGCACAGAAAAAAGCATACATACACCCAAGGACACATGGTGGAGAGAGGCTCTGGCCCTCAGCAGAAGGCCTTCTATGGTGACGTTAGAAAGAATCCACAGACTGAGAGACACCCCCATGTATATCAAACGTGATGTCACACTCTTTTGGTTGGTCACAGGGTTCACCCAGGACAGAGGAGCCCTCAAGAAAATACATCCCAACAAACAGTTAAATAAGCACAATTTTGGCATTTTTATCATACCAATCAAAATGAGTGAGTCGCCTATCTATGTGAAAAACTTGACTCGACACTAACTAAAAAAAAAA